TTTCGTCATGGCACCCAAGGCCGGCATATTCAAGGTTGTCAACCGGAGAGATTGGCAACACCGTAGAGGTATGTGTAAATTTTGTGGGCGCGCGCGCGCGTGCGTGTGTGTGTGTGTGTGTGCGTGCGTATGTGTATGTGCGCGCGCGCGTCTGTATGTGTATGTGTGCATGTTTGTGTGCGTGCGTGTGTATGTGTGTGTGTGTGTGTATGTGTGTGTGTGTATGTGTGTGTGTGTGTGTGTGTGTGTGTGTGTGTGTGTGTGTGTGTGTATGTGTGTGTGTGTATGTGTGTGTGTATGTGTGTGTGTGTGTGTGTGTGTGTGTGTGTGTGTGTGTGTGTGTGCGTGCGTGTGTTTGTGTGTGTATGTGTGTGTGTGTGTGTGTGTGTGTGTGTGTGTGTGTGTGTGTGTGTGTGTGTGTGTGTGCGTGCGTGTGTTTGTGTGTGTATGTGTGTGTGTGTGTGTGTGTGTGTGTGTGTGTGTGTGTGTGTGTATGTGTGTGTGTGTGTGTGTGTGTGTGCGTGCGTGTGTTTGTGTTTGTGTGTGTATGTGTGTGTGTGTGTGTGTGTGTGTGTGTGTGTGTGTGTGTGTGTGTGTGTGTGTGTGTGTGTGTGTGTGTGTTGTGTGTGTGTGTGTGCGTGCGTGTGTTTGTGTGTGTATGTGTGTGTGTGTGTGTGTGTGTGTGTGTGTGTGTGTGTGTGTGCGTGCGTGTGTTTGTGTGTGTATGTGTGTGTGTGTGTGTATGTGTGTGTGTATGTGTGTGTGTGTGTGTGTGTGTGTGTGTGTGTGTGTGTGTGTGCGTGCGTGTGTTTGTGTGTGTATGTGTGTGTGTGTGTGTGTGTGTGTGTGTGTGTGTGCGTGCGTGTGTGGTGTGTGTGTGGTGTGGTGTGTGTGTGTGTGTGTGTGTGTGTGTGTGTGTGTGTGGTGTGTGTGTGCGTGCGTGTGTTTGTGTGTGTATGTGTGTGTGTGTGTGTGTGTGTGTGTGTGTGTGTGTGTGTGTGTGTGTGTGTGTGTGTGTGCGCGCGCGTGCGCAGCCACTGCACCTTAAAATTCAAATTATCTTTCAAAGCTTTTCTTCTGGAACAGACCGATTTCCTGCGTATTTACATTTCAAGCCACGAACTCTGTTCTTACGAATGCAAGCAAATGTCAGAAGCAGCAACGGAAAAAAGCGTCGAGAGTCATACTTATATCTTCTTTTATCTTTGGCAGAGGGAGGACTTGACACGCTGGTGACTACGACTGACATGTTGGGCTTGGTGATTTCAGAAAACTAATTGTTGTTACGGGAGGGAGAGAAAAAGAGAGAAAGAGAAAGAGACTATGAAGAAACACGAATATAATAAGTGACCACAAGGGTGACACATCATAAATAATCCCCACGCTACCTGATTGTTTACCGTTTCTTACTCTTATTTTTAAAACTTGAGACATCAGAGGAGACAGCAAGTCAGTTGATTGTGTAATCTTCCGTGATGATAACTATTTTCTTATGATAACGAGTTTTAAAATCATTACTGATAATTCAAATGTTTCTTTTCCCACCACTGCGACGGGTTATGTTACTTATAATTCACATGCTGCCAATAATGTTTAACTACTGATAACGATAAGGATAAGCATGATAATAAAAATATTATGGTGACGTAATAATAAAAAGGATACTGATAATAATGAAGGCGACAATCAAAATGGTAATAAAAATATAATAATTGTTGTAATAACAAGGGTGATGAGGATGATGGTGATAATAGTGATAACAATAATAATAATAATAATAATAATAATAATAATAATAATAATAATAATAATAATAATAACAATAATAATAATAATGATAATAATAATAATGATAATGATAATAATAACAAAACAAAACAAGAATAGATATAAGGATAATGATGCTGATAATAATAAAAACAATGATAATAATAATGATAATGATAATAATAATAATAATAATAATAAGAAGAAAAATATGGATAATACATGATGATGGTAATATCAATAATGATAATAACAAAAATAATAATAACACTGATAATGATCAAGACAATGATAATGATAAAAATACTAACGGTAGTAATAATAAAAAATAATAATAATAGTAAGGATAAGAATAATGATATTGATACTAATAAAAGTAATGACAATGATAATAAAATCACAAATAATAATAATGAAAATTGCTATAATAGTAATAATAATGATATGAATAATGATAACAATAACAGTAGTGATAGTAATAATAATAATAAATGGTAATAATAGTAGTAGTAATGATAATAATAATGATAATGAAAATAATAATAATAATATTAACGATAATGACAATAATGATAATGGTGAAAATTATAATGATAATAATATTGATGATAAAACTGTAATGATTACAATAATGATACTAAAATGATAATAACGACAATAATAATAATGATGATAGTAGTAATGATAACAATGATAATAATAATAATAATCGTGACAATACTAATAATGAACAATAATAACATTACTTATGACAAAAATAATGATAATAATAATAATAATAATAATAATAATAATAATAATAATAATAATAATAATAATAATAGAAATGATGATCATAATAATAATAAATATAATGATCATGATAATAATAATGATAATCATTATCATACTAGTACTACTAATTATTATTATTGTGATATTAATAATAGGTAATAATGATAATTATAATAATAATGTTTATTATTATTGTAATAATAATAATGATCATATCAACAATAATAATGATAATAATAACAATGCTCACGATTATCTAACAATACTGTAGTTACAGTATTACAGTATTGCACTATTAGTTACCACACCCCGTACTTCAGCGCATACAAACAAAACCGTCCTTCTTGCATTGTATGAAGTGAACAATATTGCATGATAAAAATAATGTTTTGATAAACCGTAGGCGTACAACGCCAGTGAACTCCTGATGCCTTTCCTTTTAATTGGTGGGTTGTTGGTCAGTTTGATATTACTGTTTCCTGCACAGCCTGTACTTTCTGCTGAGATTCCCAAACATTGAAGAGGTACGGTTACCGTTGATGGATTCATTTTACCTGGTGCTCTTTTGTTTACATTGCCTTGTTCCCTGCCGTTCACTCAACACCGTTTCACTTGTTGCTTTCCGATGGTCATTGTCAAAGATTTGAGACGATCGTAGTTTTATGATGTTGATAATCTTCCAGTGGGTGTTGCTGCTCCCCCGACGATTTGGAGGTGCCATTCTGTCTCTCAATTAGTATCAATTATATCCTTGTTCTTCTTCCCATTTTCCAAGAGGGCTGTATATCACTTGGCGGTTAAAATTAGTGTGTGGTGGTTGGAGCTTCTTATCAGGAAGGTCAGTCGATGAATAAGAATAATTTTTTATTCTTTTAGCCAGTCTTTCTTTTGTGTTTGGCCTACTTAGCTTTTCGCTGCTTTCAAAAATTTGTAAGGCAGGCTTTAAAACAAAACATTTTCTTTCTTTTTTTTTTGCACCTAAGAAATCTGACCAAATTTATTTGTTTGATATCAAAAATATCATAAATGGATTTCTGACATTGCCAGCGAATATTTTCCTGGCCTTCTGCTTGATCTTGGCTTCTCTGTTCCCATTTAGACATTCCTAACGAATAGATCTATTGATACATTGTATGCATTGTCGAATATGGGAGAGCATTCGATCTGGATATAATGACTGACTGACAACCATGAGTAGCAACCATTCTTTTATTGCACTGAAAACAGCCTTCATCGCATTGTACCTATAATCTCTCTAGTGATGCGTCTTTATACCTACCCACTTGCTATTCACCCACAGCCAGGTCTCTAGTCTATGGGAATTAAACTATATTCTGTAAGTGTCTTTTGATTATTTAATTTCTATCATTACTTTTAAACGACAAAAGTACTTCGCGGATCCGTCGTCGTTCTCCAGATTTATCTTTAAATAATCCCGTTTTCCAGGCATCAGCAATGAATCCTGACGGCCCACCCCTGCACTTCTGTTGCTGCACTCACGACTAACGCTAGCAGTCACCGAGAGGACAATCATTGCACCGCTCAGTGCATGATTTTAGCACCAATTATTATGCAATACGCAAATATTCAGTAAGTAATGAATGGTGTGTTGGCATACTAAGATCAGATTAAAGAAAATGGATGACGATCACAGGCCAATAATGTTGACCAGAAAAACGTTTCGTGCTTGAGGTCAAACAGTGGAAAATACGATTAGCTTTAGCTTTTACGTTTTTGTTTTTCTACAAATTACACACCGCGCCAAAGAAAACATTTCTCTATAACTAAAGGAGAACGATAGGAAAGAAAAAATACAGGGAACTAAAGGAGATAGATAAACCAAAATTAAAGTCAATCGACTTATGGGAATAAGTTACGAAGACGAAGCTTGGCGGGGGCATCAGGGTTCCCGCTCTCCCCACGGCGTCCAATCACGCGCTTTATTAGATACTTGCAAATCCAGGACCTTATCTATAGATTAAATGGCTAATAAATCGTTGTGTTATCTCATTTTGTTGAAAATGATTTATACCGAATTATCGTTTCATTTATGATAGTGAGATTTATCTCTCCAGAAGCCTATTATAGTTCATAGGTAAGGTTATGGCTATGGTAAGGTAAAATGTCTCAATTTCATCACTTTTAACTATATGGACATGAACGCTGTTCTGCACCACACATCGTTAACCACTGCTGAACTCCCAGTTGCTTAACAATCTCTTTGTTACATAAATAAAAGTTGATGCCCTGTATGAATAAGACCCAGTGCAGTTGGTCTATTTTACACATTACATAAAATATATTGTGTGTGAATGTACTTGAATGTATAATTCATATTGGAGAGAGAGAGATATGCAAACGATTTATATACTGTTCGGTGCCAATAAGTCCAAAGCACGTATAAACCGCAGACATATTTTCATATCGTATAACCAGACACGCATACAAAACGCAGGACT